AAGGATAGTGGGTGTTCAAGGAAAGGCTGGATGTTGTGTTGAGGGACATGGTTTAGTGGAAGCTATTGGGAATAGGTGAATGGTTGGACTGACTGGATGATTTTTAGGTCTTTTCCAACCTTGGGATTCTATTATTCTATGGAGGCCACAAGCATGGGCTGAAGGTTGGACTGGATGATCTCAGTGCTCTTCCTTAACTTCAGTGATTCTATGATCTCTGCCTGCCACACAGATGGACCTTAACACTGGAACTATCTGACAAGGGAATGTTTTAAATTGTTCCACAGAACTATGAAGTATCTCTGGTGGAGAGGAAAATTTCTTTTATTATAGAAAATTTAGATTAGATCATCTGGAAATTGAAACATCTCAATCATCACAATAAATATATTAATATTTAATATTTATATTTATTAATATATTATATTAATATATAACATTATATATCTTATATTATATTTAATAATTAATAAATACTAATAAAGTAGTAGCAAACAAATCTTTTTGTTATTTTTCATCGAGGCAAACAGAAGCTTAGTGGGATGATGCAACCTGATCTGTCCTAGGCTAGCACAAGAGGTATTGGAAGCCTACAAAAGAATCACTGCCTAATTCTTGAAACTCAGGAGTTTATTCTGACAGTTACAACAGATCAGTTGAGAATCTGTTTCTTATAAGGGCAAATTATTTCTCCTAAATTTGTAATATGGACAAATGTGGGGGCAGGATAATCACCCATCCCATCCTTCAGAGCAAGTACAAATCCACAGTTATTACTCATCCTTCGCATGATTTCTGAATCGACACTTACCTACATATTCAGGTATCTTTCTCAAGGCACTGAAGCTAAGAAGATCATTAGATGCACAGTTTTTTCCCTAAACCAACAGAAGACTTCTAGCACTGCGGCCTAGCAAAGGATTAACAATCCTAGGCTACTTCCAACTTTCCTACTAGGGGCTGGTAAATGCTGTTGATCATGTAAACAAGGCAGAAAACCAGGATACATCTTACATCCCTGAAATCTCTGGGGTCTCATTGCTGCCTCCCTTTTTCCTATAGTGTGATTCACAATTTTACCGTATATATTCTGAGCACTTTTTTCCTTTCCTTTGTATCACTTTCATAGTCTTTTCCTGTCCAAAAGACTCCCTAGTACATATGCACCTGGCTACCAGAATTCAAGATGCTTTCACCTCAAGCTCTATAGCACACGCAGCTGTCAGTCTGCAAGCAAGCTTAACCTCCTGTAAAATAACAGATCCTTCCCTACAGGTCATCCAGGACCCATCATTTGCACTGACAACAGAGTGGTTACTCTTATTTCATTCAGGAACAACAGATTCTCCGCTGTGAATCTTTCTCTACATTAAAAATATAATGGACATCAGTATTTTCCCCCCAGGGCCTCCTCATTTCACTTGAAATCTACACAGACAAGGTTCAAGACACTGGCTGACATTCAGATCAGGCTGTAAGCCCTATTCTCTGCGTAGGCATGGGGCACCAGGCTGTGATTCCAGCAAGAGAAGTTTCTGGCTAGCCAAGTTGCATAAAAGAAGGTACAGCACGACTGGCAGCCAGATGCTGTTTGGCATGGTGGACAAAGTGGCAGTGCTTCAACACTGGCTGTTGTTTTCTTTTCCTCTCATCATATCCTCTTGCATCTTTAAATCAAATATGCTTACAGCTTCAAATGTCTGCTCCTCACAGAAGAGAAGTTTCTAATCTAAAATGTTAGGGAGATGAATCTGTAGAGGGAACTAATGTATTTTACACCACCATGGAGGAAAAAAAAAACACCTTTACACCTAAGTTAAAATTGCCTAAAGGCAACCAAATCTGCATGCAACATTCCAACATTTTATTATGCTCTAACGAATGCTGTATAGAGAAGGCATAGCCACTACATAGATTCATGACATAAGCCATGGGAACCTGAAAGCCCATTCTCCTTCCTTTATAAGGAATGTATAATATATAAGGAATTTGTATAATTTATTAATTATCAAGACACTGAGTGTGGGAAGTTGCACAGCACCATCCTGTGAGCATCAGTGCCAGGGACACACCAGCAGCTGCGGAGTTACAACTGATAGAGAGTACATGACAAAACAGAATGCAAAATCTAATGTTGCAGTTGCAAATCTTTTCTAAGAAAAAGCTGCTCCCACAAATTTACAGTCAGATACCCCTTTATCCCTTCTTTTATTATGAAATAAAAAGCTTCCACTTCAACATTGAAGAGATATAGCTAACAGTGCCGTTCAAAGCTAATGATAAAGATGAGATAAGGAAGAGGCAGACTGTTCTGGTAACTATATAAAATACAGCAGTCATTCGACTGCAGTTGTATGCTTAATTAGATAAAGTGTTTCAGGATACGCAGAATTTTCACAAATGGGAATCCAGAAGGTATTCCAAACAGTTTACATCTCCATTCCATTTTCTGTAATTTCTCATCTGAAATGACCTTACTTTTTTTTTTTTAATGTGATTTCATTTGAAAGTTTTGCTAAAAATACTCAATTTTGGCAGCAAACGTAATTATTTCCCTTTCTGTTTTTTACACCCCTACACATCACCAAAACAACTAACAAAGAAAAAAAAACAACAGCCTTTTGTTTTAAAATTAGCTCTAACAGAATTACAGCTCCCCCCCCTGCAACCACAGATGAAGACTTTGAACTGCATGAAGCCATGAGGACACAAGAAGAGGATGAAGAAAGAGCCATGGGCTACGAAGGGAAGCAGAGGAGGTGGAGGGCAAGGCTGGCGGAGGGCTTGGAGTATTTATAACAAATCAGCCCTCCCTGCATCCACCAGAGCCTCCAGCAGCTGCTGCACTCCTAGGGATGTGCAACAGTGTGCCAAGGTAAAGGAAAGATGCTCCCAGATGAAAGAAGGTCAAGGTTCTGGCTGCAAGCTGTCTGCAGAACTTGCTGGCACAGCACTCGCTGCCTGCCTGGGCTGGGGTGTTTAAACAGGGCTGGTCTCCCACACACCGCCTCCTGTTCATGGCTAATCCTGCTCAGAGGTCAAACAACGCCAGCCGTGAGTCACCACAGCATCTCCCAGGCAACTGGTCGAATATACGATGTAAACACACGATTACAGATTGACTGCAGGGATCAGGAAGGAGAAGGAGGAGGAGGAAGAGCTGGGCTGAAATAAGTCATGCTTGTATTAAACTCAGTGCTGCAGTAACACTGGACAAGCCCGTCTGTGTCAGTAGGATAGCATGATTTCCTCCTCTCACTTTGCTTCTCCCCAGCATCTTCTTCGCTGAAGTCTTTTTTTCCCCCGCAGATAATTTCTCCAAAATGAGGTACAAACACAGGAGGGGCTGTTACACAAATGGCTGCATTTAAGAAGTCACCCTCACTCTCAGCCATTCTTCTAGTACATGTGGGCCTCTCTCTCCCTGAGGCCCCTGTTCAATGTTGGTCTGATCTAAGCTGCATCACGGGATAACAATCATCCTTATGGAATAACCAAGAAACAAAATCATCACGCAACTAAACCAAAAAATATAAATTCCCATTATAAATAAAGGAACAATCGAAAGCAATTACCTCCTTTCCCTCTGAATCAGAAGCAGAGTCAGATTTCCCACTTGTTACAACTAATGGCAGCAAGAGCAACCCAGGGAGCCCTCCCCAGTGACTCAGTGAGTCTTGGGGCCAGCAGGACAGGGGAAGCAGAGCCACGGAGCTGGGGACAAGCCATGGCCACCAGCCAAGCCATGGCACTGAGGATGCCCAGGCAAATGCTGTAGGAAAGCATTACTGCTGCCCGGAAATCCCATCAAGTATTCCGGTTCCTGAAGGCAAACACAGCATCCTTTCAGATCCTTTCTTGGCAATTTGGCCGCTGGGTCCCAGGAGGGAGATGAGGTCACACCACGCAGTCACAGCCCCTGCGCGCCCCATGCACACGCGGGCTGCGAGTCACCGCCTCTCCCCTTCTGTGAGAAAACAGACGCTGAGCTAATTGATTGCACAGGAATCAGCCACTGTAAAAAGGCTTCTCATCCCGAGTAGAAAACAGCTCCAACAGCACAGAAAGGAGCGGAAATGAGCAAATGAGGTGGCCAACTCTCAGCCACTAATCACCAGGAGGGAATGGTGTATTTCATTAGCTAAGTCCTTAGTCCAAATCGTACTTCATGCACATCTCTTACAACAAATCACTAGACAGACAAATAACAATAATAAAACAATACACTCAGTTCCATAAGCTGTACTGTATATAGAGGAAACACCAGACGTTTTTCTCACACTAGTACCAATGTGTTGCACAGCAAGAAGTCAGAAGGGAAGGTTAATTGTAGGGACCACAGCCTAGAATGTGCTCATTCCCACAGGCCTGAAGTCACCAAAGAAAACTCCGTGCCGATTTGTTTTAATTGCACAAAGGCTAAACGAGAGTGGTGTGCTTTAAATGTGAAAAGCCACTCTGTCTGAGCTCTGCTGGAGGGATGGCACTGAGCACCGCGCGTTTCCTCCCTTCTGCAAGGGTTTCAGAGAACGCTGTGTTTGTTCTGAACTGCACAACAAGATTTCAGAGAGAAGGGCTGTGTTTCACAAGGACTACAGCAACGGACCTCATCACACTAATTAAGCAGATCCTAAGAGGAACTGGAACTTACCAGGCCATACACCATTTGGACACTAGCATCTTTAACATTGCAAACGTATCCTCCAGTATCCTGCTCACATTTGAAAGCTTTTTACTATGCATTAATCTAACTTCATGTTTTCCACAATAGAATTTCATCAAACATTAAATATTTACAAACTGAAAGTCATACCATTCTAGCAAAGTCAAGCAAGAGATTTTTAAAATGCTAAAGTGGTCATCCAAACCGTATATTCTACACTCAATGAATGTAAAAATGAGAAAAAAGTTGACCAAAACAGAATTACATTTAAATCCACTTGAAAGAAGCAGATTTCATAGGCTGATACAGTGGTATGCAAAGAAGAGCAACTATTTACCAGGAGAAATTGTCTCCAGACTCCCAGGATTAATCTTCCTAGTGCTCGTGCAGTGCTGGACAGTTGACCCAGTGAAGATCAAGTAGAAAACTACATCATCTTCAACCTTATCTTCCTCAGTCAGCTGCACTGTAATAACAGAGTCGCCCTGGAAAGAAGAACAAAAAAAAAAGTCATTAAGTTTACATATCCAAGAACTGCATTAAATAAAACTGCACTCTCAGGCTGCTGCTTTCTGTTCATGCACTCCTTTCAAATGACTTGGGGCCCATCCTGATTTTCAGATATGCAAGTCATCCTTAGCATGCCTTTTAGCCAGACTATCAAGCATTATAGCCAGCCAACCAGCTAGAAAATATGTTGAGCTCAGCTCTGGGAAGAAACACATAGAAACCCCCAGAGTATATTCAGAATAGCAACTTAACATGGGGAAATCTTGCCGTTTACTGAAGTCTGAGAAACACATACCCCACACAGGGTCTTTTATGGGCATGCACACACATACAGATAACTCCACGCACATACATATCACATATACCTAGCTAAGAAACAAAACAGGGTTGCAACTAATATGACCTGTGTTCACTAGTTTAAATTCCCTCATTCTTTTCCCTTGCCACCCTAGCCACTGTGCTGATGATAGTTCCAGCGTGACCAACCCCCTCATTGAATACATTCTTCCATCAATAGACACAAATGCTTCACAGCCACTGAGGTTTATGAGACAAACAGCTGATTCCTGCTCAACTTCACGGAGACTTCATTTTAGCACCTGAGAGCAAAACCCTTGGAGATGGAGGGCATATATCATCATCACTGCTAAACTGGTACAGGATACAGTAAATATACCTGCAGTTCATGCACCCCTACAGACCACATATCCAACAAATTCAGTTTTCCATGGAAAAGGGGAAGCAGGGAAGGGGGATGACTTGCAGTCACCATACCAATAAGTGAAGCACGTTCACTTGATCTGACTGCCCACCATTTACCTGCCTGAAATACACAAAGCATTGAGACACCAAGGACGGGCTGAAGTGACCTTCTGCCCCAGTTCCCTCTAAGATCAAAACCAGTTGGTTGTCCCAGTTTTACACAGCAGCTGCATTAGCCAGCCCTCTGCCACAACACTGAGCATATGCTTAAGGCTGCAAATCTGGAAAAGATTGTTTTTATTATTATTATGTAATTCTGATTTGCATAGCCAATGGAAGACACATGTCATTCACTTCAAACCTTCTCCTTAAAATCATTCAGTTAATCTCTTCTTTGTCAAATACAATCCTTGAAGAAAAATCCAAGACTTCCAAGTCTTCACGAGCACCCATACCATGTTAGTGTCGCTTCCCACACTCCACTTCCAGTCTCCCCCATCTTTCATCATCACTTCAACTCTTTTCATGCCCCAGCAGAGCTTCCTCCACATCCAGTGAACTTTAAATTCTTCTCTCCCCTGCCCTGGCTGGTAGCTCTCGCCATGGTCAGACCGCATGGACTGCTTTGGACACAAACAAGGTTTTTCAGCACAGTGCAGCCTTCAGCCTTAAAAGATATGGGTCAGTCTTTTAATGCACAAAATCATGAACTCGCAAAGATAAATGAAGCAGCAAGGAGATTGCATTTCCACAGGCTGCAGAGTTCCAAATGGACATTCAGGAAAGTATTGCATGATAACATCATACCAGGCTTCCAGCTGGGGATAAAGGAAGCACGGAGCAAAAGTATAGATTCTGTATGTTCAGTGTCAAAACAAAAACAGGTGCAAAAAGAAAGAAATTAAACTCAAGCATGACAAGTTCACATGCTGAGCTGAAAGCAAAATAACCCATTGCAAGCAAATGGATCCAGTTTTGAGCAATGCTCAATTTAAAAAAAAAAAAAAACCACTAAAGTTTCAGCCTGCAAATCCTTTGTGCTCGGACTTTTTTTTATCTATCCATCTTTGTTCAAACTGTTCCCCCCTTAAGGCATGAACACACAAGGTACTTAGACTTAAAAATGAAGTGATGTTTAAGGATACTCATCAATGGGGCCAATTGTTTAAGCCATAGCTCTTGAGGGGAATTGTTCTTTTCTTTAACTCACAATTCAAGTACAGCCAGTCCAACTCTCATAAAGGAAAAGCAAATCTGCAGAGAGTGCACGTGAGAAGACACCTGGCTATACATGTGAACAAGGCACTTGCCAGCACAACACTTGATTTAAAAAAAAAAAAAAATAGACAAAAAGAAGCAAAATAAAATGGTGACTACAACTGATTGTGTAAACACAGGTAAGAAACCTGAAATCTGCCCAAGCTGAGGCTTAACAAGATGTGTGAACTATTCATATAGAAGTCTGAAGTTGCCAAGCAGTCAGGCCCAGTTTTAGGGGTGGCCCTGCTTTGGGGCAGGAGGGATAGACCTGGTGACCTCCAGCAATCCCTTCTAGTCACAGTTATTCCGCAGTTTGTATGTTTTATTTTAGCTCTGTTTACCTTAGTGCACATTTAAGCCTAGGGGAAACAAATTCTCCTCAGCTGCTATCGGTCAGCTTTTCAGCTGTGCCTACACCGTGCTTCACGGAGGAACGCTCACCATCACCATTCTCCTGGTCTTTCTGGAGGACCTGGTCCAAGCCTGATTAGAGAAGCCCAATATCCTAATTATGTCAGCTAAATATTATAATTTTTCTAAACTCAAATCGTACGTTGTCTCCAAATGTCTGCAGCAAGATGGATAAGGTGCCACCTACACGCTGCGTGCTTCAGTTTACTCTCAGCTGTCTCCTGAACGAGCTCTTGGCTGTGCTATGCACGGGACAACTTGCTCTACGTGACCAGAGATCCCAGCGGGAACAAAACACGAAGTGCAGGCCGTCCTTCAACACACATCTCTCTCCTCGGTTATTAACAACTTCGCTACCCGCTGCCAATTTTTATTTAATCTTCAAATGCCATTTTGAAACAACGTATTTATTTGAAGAGGAAACAGTGCACAGAACAATCCTCCCTCTTTCAAACACTTGTGGAGCTAAAGAAACTCAGTTACAAACGCAGCCAAAATTCCTTCGATCCTCACAGAAGAGTTTCCAACAGCTCTATTGCATTCAGCCTCCAAAAACATTTTAATTGAAGTGTGTTTACCTTTATTCATTTAATATTATCCAAAAAAGTCATCTGTTCAGTATCACTGCCGCACAAGGTGGTTATTATAACCCTTCTTTCATCCTCAATGGCTAGAACTGGATGGCCAGTCTGCCAACATCCCTTTGGTGAAAGTACAGACAGATCAAAGCCATTCCCTGGAATGCTCCAACAAATAAGAATAATTTAATTTCAAAACTAGTTTGGATTGACTAATATTTACTTGGCTTAAAGCCTATTGGAAATGAAAACATTCCATTTTCGTCCATTCATGAAAGAGGTCACCCTCGCCTTCATTTTGATCTGAAAGCCTCTGAAAAAGCTTTTTGGATAGCTGTAACATGATGCAAAGAGCATGAATGCTGCTCTGCACTCAAAATACACTCCCTTTCTCAAGCGGAAGGGAGGAGGAGCACGAGCTGCCTCCTCAGGGGATGCACGCATTGGGAAAACCAGACCTGGCCCTGGGCTTCGATCCACCACAACCCAGCCCAAAGTGATGCTGGTGCAGCTTGTCTCTGAACAGCCACCTTCCTTAAGGCAGTAGAAATGCAATTGTCTCTAAAAAGGCCCCAGCACAAGTGGAACCTCCTAGAAGCAAAACCAGAATGCGGCAAGGCACCTGTTTGCAGCACTGGGACAGCCACACCATGCCAGGCATTTGTTTTTCAAGTTCACAGCCATAAAGGCGTATGGGTTGTGTGCACAGTGTATGAGCAACTCTGAGTAATCATTTCTTCTGACACCACCTGGGTTCCACATCTATAAAAGTGGATGATTTCCCTTCAAAGGAGGCTATACAGCAACATTTGCAAGCGATGGCACAGCAGATAATCCATAACTGAGAAGAATCAAGATCACCTGTGCTATTAGGTAGGCAGTAATATCTACCTTGTAACAAGCACCTTTTAAAATCTTTTCTTTTTTTTTTCCCACTTCAGTCTCTAGAAATCTGTCTGTTTTGAGTGAACCTGGCACAGAGGGCCCTGAACAGCAGCACCACGAGGGACAGCCCTTGTGAGCACATGCACACAGCCCTCAGCCGGACAAAGGAGAGGTTCTGCCATGGGACACCCACTCTCCAGGCACGTTTCCCTATTTCCCCTTTGCAGTCCATCTCTGTGTTGGGTTAACAGATTTTAAAGTTTCTACCAAAAAAAACGGCACAGTCTACTTTTGCATGTGAAACAAGTGATTTCTAAATAGCTTTTTTTCCTCCTGGATCACACTGGGAATTTGAAGTACATTATCTAACCCATTAACCACCCACTCTGACCTTCCCCCACACAAATTCTAAAAATACTTATGGAAGCAAAGCATGTGTTAGATAGCAAAGCTGAAGCACTCCAGCTTTAATTTAGCTTTCAGTGAGAAAACACTGCCAACCAGTAAAGCTACTTTTGTTCCACACAGAAAAACCAAATTACAGCTGATGACCACTGCCATCTCGGGCTGCTTTTTACTCCTGCAGGTAAAACCTACGCAGTTGTATGGAACAGAAAGTTGAGAGATTCATATGCGAGGAAAGAAGCCTCTCTCCAATACATTCCCTTCTCCAGAGCTGTTGTAGAAGTCAGCAAGGTGATGCTCTATTCTAGAGGCTGGAGTAGGTTCTGGATTAGATGAATAAGCGTAACCTGCCAATGCAGCAAGTTTTGTTTTGTTTCCACTGTTCATAACATGAGTCAGGTTTTTGTTGGGTCATTGCTTATTGCATTATGTTATGACAAAAAAAAAAAATGGAGAAACATGCTTTTGAAACAGAACTTTTTTCCTTCCCCTTTGGAAAGCTCCAAACAGCTCCTAGCTGAGCTGCTCAGTTGACAGATGCAAAACCACAGCTATGGATTCTTCCTCTCCTCCAAGGAATTTAGACTCACTGGTACTTCTATCTTTTCATTCACAGGTGGAGATGAACTCACTTTTATCCCAGTTGCAGCTCAACACAACACACAGAATCAGGCTGCAATTGTAGGGGACAAGTCCCTTCACATCCCTGTGCTCCGAGTTCCCTATCAACGAAA